AAAGTCAGTTTAATTAAAAATTAAATTATTTTGAAATCTTCGTATAGTTTTTGTAGAAAAGCATTTTTTTTAACTGTCAAACACCAATACACCCAAACACTATTTCTGAAATTTGTACTATTTTGTCTGACTTATCATCGACTGACACTACTGTGATAGCTGATTTTATTTCTGAAAAGTGAATTTCTGTCAATTTTATCCTTATCAACTGATTTGACATTGATATTCACTATTGATATCTGACTGTATTTTTGAAAATAAAACTACGTTGTCTGACTGTAACTAGCTTTTACTACTAAAACTATGAAAAATACTAAGATTACTAATAATATAGAGTAAAGTACTAATAAGATTTTAAGTTTAAATTTTGTATATTAATTATAAACCGTCTTTAATTGTAATAATTAATTAATAACAATAATTATAAAATTTAATTAATTAAGGGAACTATGGACTCAGTATTTTTGAAAATTTCAGTAAGTCTAGTATGTTGTCTGACTTAACATTGACTAATACTCCTGATTTTGCTGACTGTATTTCTGAAAAGTTAATTACTTTGTCTGGCTTAATCTAACTTTTACCACTAGTAATTAGTTTTCAAGTATAAGTTTCATAGTTTAAACTTTAAATAATATTAATTGTTATTCATTACTAATTTTATGTTTCTGTAAATTCAACTATTTTGTCTGATTTTACACCGACTACAGTACTCTGTTGTACTTGTCCGACTTTATTTCTGAAGAATCGATTTCTGTAAATTTTATCTTTTTTTTGTCTGATTTAACACTGACTCTCACTAATGATATCTGACTGTGAAGGAGTTTACACCGTAAGCCTTAAATATAAGCCTCCGCGAGCATAAACGGATATGCCTCCATGAGCATATACTTGCGTCTGCGCAAAGTGTTTGCCTGCAGCTGTGTTGTGAAAGAGTTTGCCTTGACCACGTGTTCGCGCAGGCGCAAATATATGCTCCTGCAGGTATATCCGTTTATGCGCGCGGAGGCTTATATTTAAGGCTTACGGTGTAAACTCCTTCTGTATTTCTTAAAACAAAACTTCATTGTCTGACTTGAACTAATTCTAACTTGTAAAACTTGAATATTTACATTTTAAACTAATCAAATACTATAAACTTTAATTTGAAGTATGTTAACTATTTTAATTATAAACTGCGTTTATTAATTTTATCAGATTATCTATTTTTTTGAAAATTAAAATTAAAATAGAACCTTTGTCTGACTTAATACTGATATTCACTACTTATACTGCAAACTTATTTCTGAAAATTAAATTTTTCTCACTTGTTACTGACTCCTACTAATTATACAAAGTTTTAAATTTCACTCAGCACCACAGTAAACTATTAGTAAAAAAAAAACGTTGCAGCTTAAATTAACACAAAAAAAGATTAAGATAAATCAATTTTTCAATTAATTTTTTTCGTGAAAAAAATGTGTCTAAAGTAATCTGCAACAGTTTAATCCCTCTAGGATTAAATTAACATCGCAGAAAGGATTAAAATAATCTATTTTGGTGTTATTTTTAACTATGAATGAAATTTTAGTTTAAATAAAACACCAAAGTCAACGATTTGTAAAAATTCAACGAATTTAGCTTCTCCAGGGAGAATAGGAAGTTAGTAACTTACTTAGTTACTAACTTACTAACTAACTTAGTAACATAATTACTAAATTCAATTGTGCTAAAAAATTAAAAAAAATTCTCGTCAGAATTTCAATTATTTTCAAAAGTTTTCTAAAATTTAATGATTTTCAATATCAACTATTTCAATAAAATTTTCCAAAAGAATTCCATTATTAAAAAAAATTTCAATAAAATTCTACGTAAACATTAAATTATTTTCATAAATAATAAAAAATTTTACAGGAATTCATAAATAATAACATTTTTACAGGGATTCAATTATTTTTATAAATAATAAAATTCTTTTAGCAATTTAATTATTTTCATAAATAATAAAACTCATTGCAGAATTTCAATTATTTTTAATGCAACTATAATCGAATTCCTCGAAAAATGTAATTATTCTTAAAAATTTTAATAAAATTCATCCAAGGAATTTAATGATTTAAAAAATTTGTTGATAACATTTTTTATGAGAATTTAATTTCAAGAAACATGAAATTAATAAATTATATAAATTTTTGTATTTAAATAATTGAATTCTCGTGGAATTTACTAATAAAAATGGTTTTAAAAATAAATTTCAGTTAAAATTTTTGATTATAATTAAATATTAAAAGCATTATAACGTGGATTTTTAGAAATAATTAAATTTTGAAAAAGTTTCAAACTAAAATCATTGAAATTCTTAATTTTTCATATTTTTGCCAAACAATTCTGTAGAATTAGTTCCTTTTAAAAGTTTAATAGGATTTTTATTGAAATTATTTCAAATTTTTATTTTTCAATATATATTTAATTGCAGAATTTCCGAATAATTGAAATTTTGTAAATTTCAATTGTAAACGAATGAATTTGAAAATTCTCACAAAACTCATCGCAGCGTTTCAATTATTTTTCATACAATTATAATTGAATTCCTTGAAACAAGTAATTATGTTCATGCAAATTTTAATAAAATTCGACAAAAAGAATTCAATTATTTAAAAATTTGTTACTAAAATTCTTTATGAGAATTGAATTTTGAGAAACATTCAATTATTCAATAAATTATTTACTTTTACATTTAAATAATTAAATTCTTGTAGAATTTTCTAATAAAAATTGATTTTCAATTCATAAAAATGAATTTTAGTTAAAATTTTAGATTATATAATTGAATATTAAAAGCAATAAAGCGTGAATTTTTAGAAATAATTGAATTTTGAAATTAATTTTGTTGAAAAAATTTAATTAAATTTTCTTTTATATTATTTGAAGTTTTTATTTTCCAATATGCATTTAATTAAAGAATTTAGGAATAATTGAAATTTCGTGATATTGAATATTGTAAACAAATGGATTTGAAAATTGCCAAAGAACTTTTTTGAAAATTATTAAAAATAATAGACATAAAGTAAAATTGTAGTTAAAAATTTTTGAAAATAATAATTGAATTGAAATAATGGAAATAATTTTGAAGAAGTATAATATTCTTATAATATAAAAAATAATGATTTTATTACTTGGTCATCTTTAATTATTATAAAATATGAAGAAATCGATGATTCCGAGTCGAAGACTCGGAGTTATCGATATCTTCATGTTTTATAGTTATAAAAAAATTTAAGGATCTAAAATTTCATTCATTGTAAAAAATAACACCAAAATTTATTAATTTAATCTTTTTTTGGTGTTATTTTAATCTGCAACACTTTTTAATACCTCACGATTTACTGTGATTGTAAAACTTGAACATTTACGTTTCAAACTAATCAAATACTTTAAATTTTAACTTGAAGAATATGAAGTATTTTTATTATAAACTGCCTTTAATTTCTTATTTTATCACATTTTCTATAGAAAATAAAAATAGAATCTATTTGTCTGATTTAATATTGATATTCACTACTTATACTGGAACGTATTTTTTAAAAATTAAATTAAAATCCTCACTTGTAACTAACTTCAATTTCTGATACGAAAATTTAATTTTTACTTAGTACATAATATGGAACAAAATTGAAAACAAACTGGTACTTGGCTATTAGCAAACAAATGTTTATTTCCGTCAAATAATTTGTATTTATTATAAATATCTCTTCTAAGAATGATTCTGTTTTGGCCTCGGAAATATTTTCCTCCTTTTTCATCAGACATGACTTTTATTATTATTGCTATTATAATTCAGAACTCCAGAGAGTTGAAATTGGTTGTTACTTTTGTCAAAAAAGTTTACTTGCCTCGACATTTAAAAAAGTATCGATAGTACGACAAAATAACTTTATTCATTTCAGCGACATAAATAAGGGGACATCTATCCATACTGAGATGTTCTACGCGAACTGAGATAGCAGAACAAATTGACATTTCACAGAAAATAATGTATATATTTTCTGTTGTGCCATTTTTTTTTAATATACCGTGTGTTTCCTCCCGCGTAATGAAACAAAGAGAGCAATATGAAGATAGAGAAATAGAGATAAATATCATTCAAGTTGAAAATACAGACGTCCGGAACTGGTAAAGTCGATGTACCAACTGGGGAGCTGTTTTCACGTTCCCAGAGAATATCAAAGTGCATGATCCTCGAGGTGGATTCTATGTTTAAAATTAGCATTAATATGGAAAATAGAGAAACGAATGTCCCTCACAGCAAAGATCGAGTTACCTTCACTTCTCACATTATCTAATACAAACGCAATGCACAAGTACTTTCATTATTTCATATATGTATGTTGTACATATAGATATATATTTCGCAAAAAATAGTATATACTACTTTTATGTGTACCTATATACACGAAGGATTAAATTTCTCATTTAGAACAATTGTGAATTAACAGTCGAGATAAAAAAAAACTATCTACTCTCTAAATTTAAATTAGTTCAGAATAACTGTTAATAAAATCTTTGCTGTCTTTTTGCTTTCAGTAAATAGTGAAAAACAAAACTAATTACAGTACGATTTACTCTTTAATACGATTTAGTAGTTTTTACTAATTAAAGACTGAAGATTCATCCACTAATTAAGTATTTAGAGTTTTACTAATTTTTTAACCAATAAAAAATAGTTGCTTTGATCAGTAAAATTAGTTATCGAAAAATTTTATACTTATTTCAATATAATTCTAAAGTAAATTTAACTAAAGCGGATTATTATCTAATTCACTGACTGAATTTTGTTACATAGAAAATTATTGTTATTTTCACATACGTAATAATCAAGTAACTATTTATATATAATAAATTATAAATAGAAGCTTAATTTGGAATAAATTTGTGAAATATTCACAAATGCGCAAAATGATGGAATAAAAGTAAAAATAAAATAATTATGAAGAAATAAAGAAATTGATAATTAAAATTCTTACCTATTCGTAGGCCGAGGATTAGCGTAGGCAACACATGGAATTACAATAGTCTCTTCTATTCTTGCTGTTATATACACTAACTTATCATTTAACATTGGCGGCATAGATCCACGAGTTTCTGAAACAGAAATTATGGAAAAAAATTTTTAATATTATTAGCAAACAATAAATTAGTTAATAAATGTATTATATGTATGAGTTCCTGCAATTATAAACTTCTCTCTAAATCTGAATCAGTTAAAAATAACTAATTAACTAATTTTTTACGAAAAATGAGTAAAAATGAAATTTAATACTTTCTAAAAATTACAATCATAACCCTTCCTGAATTTAATTAATTTCTACAATTTTCAACTAAACTTCATCTTTGAATCAATTGATTAAAATGATTTTCCAAAATAACTAATTAACTAATTTTTTACGAAAAATGATGAGTAAAATTTATGAACTTTAATACTTTAAAAAAATTAAAATTATAATAAATTACAAAAAATCAATTTTTTATAATAATTGTAAATCTCCATAGTTTTTTTAAGCTATTAAGATATAAAATTTTCAAGAAATTATAAAGAAATTCTTACAATTAATTTTTTTAAAAATATTTAAAAATAAGAAAAGAAAGAAAGCTTTACAATTTTGCAAAAATTCCAAACAATTAAAATTTGGTAAAATATTTAGAAAATAATTTAATTTTTGAAAAATATAAAAAAAATATCAAATTTTTGAAGAATTTTAATTATAAACAAGATCATGATTTCTCAAAAATAAGTCCAAAAAGTAAATTTCCATAAATTTTTATTTCCATTGTTCGAAAGATAATTGAATCTTAAGAAATTATTAGAAAACAATTCTAATAATTAGTTTTTAAAAATATTTTAATGTAATTTTTCGAAAATAAAAGAATTTTTGTAAAATTTAAAAAACTAATTAATTTTTTTGATGAATTTTAATTGAAAATTTTAAACATGAATTTCTTCTTCAAAATGTTAAAAATAATTCTAAAATGTTATTATTGTTTGTATATAATATTTAAATTTTCAGAAATATGCAATTGAAAATACTTAAAATATCGAATTTTGAAAAATTAGAAGCTAATTTTCATTAGTTTTCATTTTTAAATTTACATCATTAACATCTTTTGATAATTCAACTATTTTCAAAAATTGTAACAAAATACATGAAAAAAATTAATTAAAATAAAAAGAAATAAAATATTGAATTTTAAAAAATTAGAAGCTAATTTTCATTAGTTTTCATTTATAAATTTACATCATTAACATTTTATGATAATTCAATTATTTTCAAAAATATTGTAACAAAATACATGAAAAAAATTAACTATTTTCAATTAAATTGTACAAAATTTCAATTATTCAAAAAGATTTTTATTATAGATATATTTGAAAAATTTAATTACCTTTAAAAATGATCCAAAAAACAGTTTTTGAAAGATTTGTTTAATTATTTTTCGCATTATAAAAATCAAAGTAAGTTGCACTTTTTTTACTAAAAATTGTGGTATTTTGTTGCAATGTTTGGAAGAAAAGTCGAAAAAGTTGCAATTTTTAAAAATAAGTCAAAAAAAAGTCTTAATCTTCTTAATTTTCCTGACAAAAAATTTTTTTCCTGACATTTCCCTGACATTTCCCAGACTTACTGACAAAAATTTTGTTTCCCTGACATTTCCCTGACTTTACTGACATGTGGCCACCCTGTAATTATTAGTAGAATGTAAATAATTATTATTAATTAATATTAATAATAATTATTAATAGAAACAAATTAATTAAAAAAAATAAAATAAAAGAATTAATTATTAACAGAATACTACTAACTATTAGTCGAAAGTAAATAATTATTAGTAGAATATATTTAGTCGCTAGTAGAAAGTAACTAACAATTAGTAGGAAATTAAAAATTAAGAAAATAATTGCAGTTGACTAATTTAATAAAAGTTACTAAAAGTTTTAGTTAATTTTTTTTAATTTAACTAATAATTAGTAATTATTGACTATTTTACTAGTAAAAATTTTACTGTTTAAATCAGTGACTGATTTTTTACTATCGAATTAGTTATTTTTAACTAATTTAAATTCAGTAATTTACAAAATCACTTTTTCTCCCACATAACTTTAATTATGCTCTATTTTCTTTAATTATGTTTAAATCTTTTTGAATTTTATTTTAATTAAATAATCTTTTAATTAATAAATTAGTTTGAGCAGTTAATTGTAATTATTTAGAAAAATTACGATTTAAATCAGTGACTGACTTTTTATTATCAAATTAGTTATTTTTAATTAATTAAAATTTATAGAGTTAATAAAATAATAAAAAAAAATAGTAAAAATAAATCAATACCAATAATACAATTTTTGTAAGAATATCAAATTGGGGCAAAAAATTAATCAAAAGTTGCAAACTTTTGATTCGTTTTTTGTATCAATTTGATATCCCTAAAAAAACTGTGAAAATGATAAAAATAAAACAATAACAATACAATAATAAACGTAAAGTAATAAAATAATAATGAAATAATAATAATATTACAAAAACCATATTTTCAATTTAATATGAATGACTAGTGTATAAATGTACAACTGTATTTCATATACATAGGTTCATCAATAACTGCAGTAGTAACGTTCGGATATAGTCAGCCAGCAATAGGAGGAGACAACTTGCTGAAAGGATTTCTATCGTGACAGTAGTAATATGCGCGAATAGTTGGGCAACGTTAACGTTCGCGGCAATAGCTGATGACCCAAAACCGCAACTATTTCTCCTAACGACACTATAAATTCATTATTACTTTTGTTATAACAATGATATTACTTATGTTATTGACAAACACAGAATGACACTAAATACATATATATTTCTCTGTATATACTCACACAATGAAACTATATCGCGTAACTTAAAACTTTCACCATAAAAAATTCACAAAAACTTGATATCACCAGTTTAAAATGAAAATGATCGCGTGGTTAAACTTTTTATATGCCTCTGAAAAGTTTTATATCAATTAAAAGTGAAATTTTACTTTAATCAGTTTTCATATATATCCAAAAAGCCTTATCATCTCACGGTAGTTTAACTATTTAATTAAAATAGAAAATTTATTGACATATAAAAAAATTTATTCTGTATATAAATTAAATTTAGTGCATTTAAATTGATATCCTTATATTGTCCAGAACGCGATATTTAAATATAAAAATAGTGAAACAAAAAGTTTTCCACACTTTTTCTTTATGAGAAAAAGGACAAAAAATAATCTACATCGTTTTTCGTTTGGCATTTTAATTTGAAAAGTTTCACTTCAAAAAAAAAAAAAATTCAAAGCTTATTATAATCTGTATTAAAATTAACAATTTTTTTTACAGTATTCGTATGAAATCTTAATTTTTTGTAATTTCTAAGTTTGTTGTCTGCTTCATAATCAATTCTTAATAAATAATTTTTTTATGGTTAAAAAATATAATTTTTTTCTTAATAATAATATATTACTAGCAACAATTCGCGCGTGGCTGACTTCTCACTGACTTTTTTAAATAAAATTAGCAATGTTAAAAATAATAAGACGTAAAAATTTTTAATTAAAATTTTTTGTTTTAAATAAAATAATAAAAAATAATAAATAAAATATATCAATTTACAAAATTTAAATAATTCAGAATCTTCTAAAATTAGTTAAATTTGTCAATGTATATTTAATTAATTTAAAAAAAAAAATAAATGATTTAAAAAAAACTTTAGTTAAAAACACTAAAAAAATTGAATTTTGAAGAAGTTCTAAATAATTGCACAAATTCAATTATTTTCAAAGGTAATAAAATTCTTATCACAAAATTCAATTATAATCAAAATTTACAAAAAATCTCGACAAAATTCCAATTATTATCTTTATAAATAAAAAAATTCTTTTTCAAAATTCAGTTACTTTCAAAACTTTTAATAAGCTAAGTGCTTTAAAAAATTCAATTCTTTATAAACAATTGATTTTGGTGTTGCCTGTTGTTTATTATATGTTTATTTACAAGAAATTACTTTTGTAAAATAATTTTGGCAAAATTACTAGTCAAAATACTCCATCCGCCAATTAGCAGACAATCGAATTTTCTAGTTTTCGAAGCTAAGAGCTTTAAAAATCGAATTGTTAATAAACAATTGATTTTGTTGTTGTCTATTGTTCATTGTATGTTTTTTTTCCAGAATTTACTTTTGTAAAATAATTTTAGGAAAACTACTATTCAAAATACTCCATCCGACAATTAGCAGACAATCGAATTTTTGAGTTTTCGAAGGTAAGAGCTTTAAAAAATCCAATTGTTAATAAACAATTGATTTTGTTGTTGTCTATTGTTTATTATATGTTTATTTACAAGAAATTACTTTTATAAATAATTTTAGAAAAATTACTAGTCAAAATACTACATCCGCCAATTAGCAGACAATCGAATTTTCGAGTTTTTCGAAGCTAAGAGCTTTAAAAAATCCAATTGTTAATAAACAATTGATTTTGTTGTTGTCTCTTGTTCATTATATGTTTATTTACTAGAATTTACTTTTGTAAAATAATTTTAGGAAAACTACTAGTCAAAATACTCCATCCGCCAATTAGCAGACAATTGAATTTTTAAATTTTCGAAGGTAAGAGCTTTAAAAAATTCAATTGTTAATAAACAATTGATATTGTTGCTGTCTATTGTTTATTATATGTTTATTTACCAGAATTTACTTTTCTAAAATAATTTTAGGAAAATTACTAGTCAAATTTACTCCATCCTCCAATTAGCAGACAATCGAATTTTTAAATTTTCGAAGGTAAGAGCTTTAAAAAATCCAATTGTTAATAAACAATTGATTTTGTTGTTGTCTATTGTTCATTGTATGTTTTTTTCCAGAATTTACTTTTGTAAAATAATTTTGGCTAAATTACTAGTCAAAATACTCCATCCGCCAATTAGCAGACAATCGAATTTTCGAGTTTTGCGAAGCTAAGAGCTTTAAAAAATTCAATTGTTAATAAACAATTGATTTTGGTGTTGCCTGTTGTTTATCATATGTTGATTTACTAGAATTTACTATTGTAAAATAATTTTAGGAAAACTA